TCTAAGATAAGGTAGAGACAACAAACTCTCTCTTCTTCCTCTCTTCTTCTCCTTCTCTTCCCCCTTCCTTAAAAACAACTTTTTATAAACTTTTAAAGCTGTAGAGTACAAAATATCCATGGGCTTTAAGCTTTCAAAATAAAATTATGTATAGGATTTTTGTTTTAAAAGTTACCCTAATTATCCCCAATTTCCCAAACCCCCAACCAGGAATTTAGAGGCGGCCTTCCGATCCAGGTCCTGGGCAGGGCCCTCTACCATCCTTTCTTTTGTCAAAACATTTTCAGGAGATCTTTCCGGGGTGCCCCCCTTTTTAAAGGACCTGGTCCCCTTTCATTTTTTAAGGTGAAAATTTGGGGTGGGTCTCGGAATTTATGCCCAAAAACCAAGGAAAGGGGGAATACCATCTTTGGCATTTTGGGGGGGGGAAAAGTGGGGCCTAAAGTTTTTTTTGGCCCATTTTAGATTTTTTCTCCCGGCCCCGAAAAAAACAAAGCATTGTTCCAAACGGGCAAGGAGGGGAGGGCCCGGGAAAAAACAATTCCTTTTTTTTTTTCCCCCACCCTGCCACCCCCCCCCCCCCCGCCAAGTCTCCCATTTAGCAGAGCCTAATGGGAAGCTGTTGGCAACATAGAAACGTGTTTTGTGGCATTTCCACCCCATGTCACAAAGCAAAGTATGAAAGGGTAAGTGTGGCCAGCAGAGTAACAGCCCCCTAAAGATGTGCACATCCTGTCACCTCCCACGGCAAAAGGGACCTTGCAGATGGGATTGAGTTAAGAATCCTGAGATGGGGAGTGACCCTAGAATCCCTGGGGGACCCAGTGTCATCACAAGGGACCTCATAAGAGGGAGGCAGGAAGGTCAGAGTCAGGGACGCGGTGTCTCTAACAGCTGGAAAAGACTGGAGACAAGTCTCCCCCGGGGTCTCCAGAAAGAACATAGCCCTACCCACACCTCGACTTTAGGCTCTCACCTCCACAACTGTTATATGAATAAATTGGTTGTTTTAAGTCACTAAATGTGTGGTAATCTGTTACAGTGATAACGAGTAACTCATACAGTGGTTCTCAAGCAGAGAAGCTGTAACTTAATACATGGCACAGGTAGCTCCTTTTCCCAATCTCATCTTTCATTCTACAACTGGGAACGTTCCATATGTTCTTTCAACGAGACTCTGCTCCTAATACAACACATCTTGGAGTGAGCTGACTTTTCTCAGAGAACACCTTTGTGTCCTTGTGTCTGAAACATAGCACTTTGTGTATAAATTTTTCCTTTCTCTCTCTCTCTTTTTTAATGTAGTACTTTTTGGATAAGATGGTATTCTGAAATTTTATCCCAAACCACAAGTATCCATTTGCAAAAATCAGGAGAGTTGATTTTGGCATTCCTCACAAAGGCATATATTAACAATAACCACAAGAAAGCGAGAAGGGAGGGGGACACTTTTAAAACTATTATGAAACGTTTCAATCATACAAAATATGAAGGGAACAACATTTTGAACACTCGTTATCTACTGCTAAGCTGCATGAAATCCTATCAGTTCACCATACTCTGTCAGATTTCTTAAAGGAACAAAAACATTATAACCCTATTGCTCAGTGGTTAGAGTGAAGGGTCTTGGGTTTGATTTCCAGTCAAAGGCATGTACCTGGGTTGCAGGTTTGATCCCCGGGCCCTGTTGGGGCATGTGTGGAAGGTAACCAATGGATGTGTCTCTCTTACTGACTCTCCCTCTCTTTCTACACCCCTCTCTTCCACACTGTCTAAAAATCAATGGAAAAAATATACTCAGGCAAGGATTAACAAACAAATAAACAAAAACCATTATAGAGTTGAAATGTCCTACATATACCTTCATATTCCCAAACGTGATGTTTATTACTGCCATGCCATACACATGGACCCATAAACTATATATAACATTACTATTTCTATATTCAAATTTTATAAATATGCTATTATCCTATACATACTCCATAATTTGACTTTCTTATCCTTCAAAATCTGGATAATGTTAAATCATAATATATAAATTTACTGTAATGTTTAATGTAATAAAATAAAAATGCCAAAA